TTAAAACATTAGCTACTGCACCGTCAATCATAGTGCAATGCATGATGTAGGAAACTTCAGCAATTCCCTTCTTATTTTTAAAAATATCACATTCCAAATCATTAATCATCTGAATTATTTTATTATATTCTGAATGAATTAACGCCTTTCCTTCTTTCGTATAAACGAATTTCACTGGTCTACAGAACAGCGTAGAAGAGGGAGTTCGGTTGACCCATATTTCATTACCTGATGAGGAATCGATGAGCCTTAAAATGTGAAAAAATTTGGAAAATAGAGAATAGACACATAAGAAAATAATTGATTTTATACGAACTTAAGTGGTAACAAAGCAATTACGAAAATAAATTCATCTGAGAGGTCTTCCGCGGAGAATTTTTGCTTATATCGACTGTGGCCAGAACTGCCATCCATTCCCCATTTACATATAAGTGAAAGTTTGCCCACTGGGTGTTTGTCTGCACAAACTTCTAAGATGTGTTTGGATGTAATATGTACAAGAGCCTTTAAATTAACTTCTGCTGAAGTTTCCGTCGCTTCTATATGTGGTACTAAACTTTGTTTTAATTGGTTTAACGCATACGTGCTTGGGAAAAAATCCGCATGTATATTGTTAGCAACTTTGCGTAGTCTATTATATTTTTCTTCCGATAAATCTAAATCTAAACACAAGGCCAGCGCTTCAAAGGTTCAAGACACTTCTTTATAGTGTTATCAGGCTTCGTTTCATTTTTTGTTACTTTCCGTGCTGCATAAGTAATTTCTTCCGCACTATGTTCTTCAAGTATTTTACTAACCTTTCGCAAGTTTTGATATGTCAAATACAATTTATTCATGAAATTTTAAACTCGCGTTGAGCAACATTTTCCACTAATAGTAAAACGTTGAAATTTTTGCACAGGTAATGTAATTAGTTAGGTGAACAAAATTATAAAAAGACTCAATCGAAAAAAAAAATATATAAAAAAATTGGACCTCCCTGATGTGCATACATTTGTACTATCATTTTCGCAAGCTGGTTTTGTTTGCTGCTTAAGCAAAATAGTACTCTTTATGCAGATGAAGAGTAATAGGTATGTTATTTATTTTTATTTTCTTTTTGTTCGCCTTTCGTCTAATCATTGGGCGCTGTAAGGTGTCTCGATTGCATTTATTTCCTTACCCGAATTGGTTAACATATTATTTGTAAACTGGTGTCATTGCTCTATATATATATATATATGTATATATATATCTATGTAAATCTTCGTATACCCTGGTTTTTGGCTCCCATACCGTGATGCATATTTAAGTATTTTAATTAGCTGATAATTTTTTTCATTTCAAAGCACCCTGTACCTCTTAATTTTTTTTTGATGTGTATACATCTTTGGTTTCGGTAGGGGTAAAATTTGCGAAGCTGTAACGCATATCCCAGCACAAAATTTAGACGGGCCTAGCATGTGTATTTCAGCATAAAATTTTTATTTTCATTAGAAGCACCCTGTGTTTGCTTGCCAAATGGTTGCATACATTTAGGCATATGCATAGTAAGAGGAAATGCGCTTCAATTGATTATTACTTCCGATTATTTAAACTCCGCACATGCATACGGCTTTGTACCTATGTATGTACATAAATATGTATGGACTCATTTGTTGCAACTGGGCATGAATCACGTAACTTTGAAACGATAGTCGTTCAAACGATACTGACAAAACGATGTTGTCAAAACACTGATTTATGCATTTGTGTTGCGGTTACGTGTTAATAGCCGTCATCGATTCGCCACTTCGCTGCTTGCTATGTTTGAGTTCCGATCGCTTAACGAAAAATTTTGCATGTGAAAGCAACAACAAAGTTAGCTAGCACGGATAGACGATAGCGAGTTTGGTTGTACCACATTGTATTCGTTTCGCCACTCGCTAACTGTTGGCGAATCGATGACGGCTACAGTTACTGTTACGTGAAGCAAAACTGGAATCGAGTTGACGATATCGCACAAACGATCAAACAATTTTTGATTTTTATGAAGCAAGACAATCTCGACACGATATCGTTCAGACGAATGTCGTCATACGTGATTCATGCCCTGGTTTTGATATTCGTAGATGGTTTTAGGCATAGGTTTAGTAGTCTATTTTGGTAAATATAGGAATATATACAAATAGAAATGCTCAAACTATAAGCTCAAAAACAATAACTGATGCGGTGTTTCCAAGATATTTTAACGCCCTTGAGTCACAACGATATACAAGTATATTTTATCAATCATACCGATAATTTCATGTATTAAAATAATTAAAAATGAAAATGAATAAAAAAATTAAATCAGAAAAATGAATAAAATTAAGTGAAATTAATGTTTAATTTCTAACCTAACCTACATTTGTATGTATGTAACTGAATCGCTTAATAATCATCGCTTTACATATAAAAAGATTATCCTAATTTTCGAGCTTAACTCCCTAATCTGTTATTAGAAAAAGAGATTAGCCATGCTAAATTATAATTAAAAATATCTCAGATTAAACCGATAACTTTTTGGTGTCCAACTTAGTTTTATCGATTATACTTGCGAAGAAGAGGAGGAATGTCAAATATTAAAGTAAACAAAAATTGACGCTAGTAAGGAAAATAGGTTTGTAAAGGTATTTTTAATAAAATATTCAGTTATAAATATATTTAAATGGCCTAATATTTGCTGCAAAAAAAAGTGACCACGGTGGCACAGAGAAGAAGTTTAACTTTTCCTCGAGTTGTGTGAATAACAAGCACAACCAATTTGACAGCTACCGAGCTTTGATTGAGATTATATTTATATGTAAACGTACTTTTATGCTTTGCCGTTCGCATATGTATACACATCAAATTTCATGAGTACCTAGTACTCACGCCTTTTTTTTTGGCACTTTTAGCTTTAATTCAACACCTTATTTTTGAAAAGCGAACCAAAAATTTAGATCTTAGGGCATTCAGAAAAAGTATTGTAAATATAGATCAGCTAAAATAATACCAAAAAAAGGCATTTAGTCACTTTTTCAAAATTGAAAATTTTCAAATCTTGGAAAAAATTGGAAGAGATTTCGATTGTTTCTGTTAGTAGAAGGTCCAAACTACCATAACCAAAAAAAAAATTTCACGAACTTTCAAGATGTTCTTTTTTTTTTGTCTCCAAAGTTTACCAATTTTCGGATTTTGGTATGTTTAATCATATATTTATTTATTAATAAAAAAAAAATATTTGTACCTAGAAGTATTATGCCCCTCTAATTTCAAAAATGAAATCGGTTTTTCTGTACCGGTTACTCATTTCGAGAAAACCGAGTTTTTCTTGCATTTTTATATGAAAATAGTCATTGTGGACATGTGTTGATATAAGTGGAAGGAGGCATCAGAATGGGCTGAAACTTTACACCTGAAAGGACTATATCACGGCAATTTAAGAAAAAAAAAGTTTTTCAGCATCTGTTACCATTTAATTAAAAAAATTTTTTTTTTACAATTTTATAAAAAGGTAAAATAACTCATAATCATCGTAGACATATGTTTATAAAAACCGAAATAGTATTCAGAACTTGTTGAAACTTTACACCTAAAAGGACTAAGCCATGCTTATTTCAAAAATGAAATCGATTTTTCGGTACCGGGTACCCATTAAAAAAAAAGATTTTTTTTTACATTACTATATGAAAGACAAATAAGGCATAATCATTGCTGATTGTGGTGTTTACGAAAACAGGAAGGAGTCGTCAGAATTTATTGAAACTTTACATCTGAAGTGTCTATATTACTCTAATTTTAAGAAAGTAATCGGTTTTTTTGTAACGGGTACCCATTAAAAAAACACCGAGTTTTTGCACATGATTATTTAAAAATGAAATATGGCATATCATTGTTGCTAAGTGTTCAGAAAAATAGTCTTAATAGTCAAAATTCGTCTAAACTTTACTTCCTAAGTGAATACATTATGGTAATTTGAAAAATTAAGTCAGTTTTCCTTACATGTTAACCTTTAGAAAAAAAATTCTTTTGATTTCATTTAAAATAAAGCATAATCACTGTTAAGTAAGTAAGTAATAATAGCTGTTATATGGTAATAACATATAATATGTTAATAAAAACCGAACTAGTTGTTATAATCACTCAGTTTCAGAGTCCTCAGAAGAGGAGGAAGTGATCACTGATTCAAATGATTCCATGCTTTTGTCTGCTTCGTCACTTTCAACAATGTATTTATTAAAGCTGAGATCAGAACCCTTTAAATATTTGTTTCTCTGTTTTATATTTCTTTTAAATGCAACTAATGGATCTGACGATAATATCAAACGAGTCATTAAATCCGTATTGCTTTGTACTCTTCCAGTTTTTCGAGAATGATTAAGCCGATATTTTCTTATGTTTTTGTGTGAACATTCTAAGGCTTCTTCTGATAATGAGCCTGATAAAATAGGTGGAAATACAGATTAAGAAAATAAATGAAAACATAGCTTTAAAATCATTACCTATTGGTAAATCAAAGTATTTAATTACATCACATCCATGTACTAAAACTTTATGCACTGAACTTGGCATGTTATACCAACCATAATTTCTAAGGTATAACTCTCTTGTTTCGTTCAACAAAACACTAAACTCTTGGGTTTTTATTTGTTTTCCACAAGAGAGGACTCTTAGCACCAGAGAAAAATTATGGATTAGAGACTTATCCAGACGAGTAATTTCTGCGGCAACGTCAATATTTTCAAAAAAACGTCGAGCGGTGTTTCCATCATTTGTTGTTCCAAACCCTTGCTTGACTTGGTCAATTATCAAACCTGTTTTAATTTTGAACTCTTTTTGGATACGGGCTTTAGTTTCAATAAATTTAGCCTTATTTTCCATTCTGACTTGCCATGTCTTAAAAGGCAGACGGTAGGCTATGTGTAATAGACATTCAAAGAATCGAATCCAGCAATGGAGGGTTGATAACCCAAATTTATAATGATCTGGATTTGGTATTTTGTTTTGTTCAATATTATTCATTTCTGTTGGGCGTGCATGACATATGAAACATCTGCTTGAGGAATTGGTGTTTTTTAAAACATTAGCTACTGCACCGTCAATCATAGTGCAATGCATGATGTAGGAAACTTCAGCAATTCCCTTCTTATTTTTAAAAATATCACATTCCAAATCATTAATCATCTGAATTATTTTATTATATTCTGAATGAATTAACGCCTTTCCTTCTTTCGTATAAACGAATTTCACTGGTCTACAGAACAGCGTAGAAGAGGGAGTTCGGTTGACCCATATTTCATTACCTGATGAGGAATCGATGAGCCTTAAAATGTGAAAAAATTTGGAAAATAGAGAATAGACACATAAGAAAATAATTGATTTTATACGAACTTAAGTGGTAACAAAGCAATTACGAAAATAAATTCATCTGAGAGGTCTTCCGCGGAGAATTTTTGCTTATATCGACTGTGGCCAGAACTGCCATCCATTCCCCATTTACATATAAGTGAAAGTTTGCCCACTGGGTGTTTGTCTGCACAAACTTCTAAGATGTGTTTGGATGTAATATGTACAAGAGCCTTTAAATTAACTTCTGCTGAAGTTTCCGTCGCTTCTATATGTGGTACTAAACTTTGTTTTAATTGGTTTAACGCATACGTGCTTGGGAAAAAATCCGCATGTATATTGTTAGCAACTTTGCGTAGTCTATTATATTTTTCTTCCGATAAATCTAAATCTAAACACAAGGCCAGCGCTTCAAAGGTTCAAGACACTTCTTTATAGTGTTATCAGGCTTCGTTTCATTTTTTGTTACTTTCCGTGCTGCATAAGTAATTTCTTCCGCACTATGTTCTTCAAGTATTTTACTAACCTTTCGCAAGTTTTGATATGTCAAATACAATTTATTCATGAAATTTTAAACTCGCGTTGAGCAACATTTTCCACTAATAGTAAAACGTTGAAATTTTTGCACAGGTAATGTAATTAGTTAGGTGAACAAAATTATAAAAAGACTCAATC